CCGCCGATACTAATCTAAGTAGTCTTGCCTGCGCCGTTACATTAACCTAGTTCTTACTAACCTCCTCTCCACCGCGCTCTTAGAGTAGTCTATTAGCTATATCTCGCACGTCGTCTCTCCTATAGAGTAGTCCTCTCTCAGCCTTAACTACCACACGCCGAGTAATAGCCTTCTCTTCTAGTTTTATTAGGCGCTTATAGTTTAGCTTATAGTTACGTCGAGAGCGTTATCTAGCGCGTCGTCTTTAAAGAGTTGTTCGTGGAACGTTATAGGTTGCAGCAGCGCGCTTCTCACTTCTAATCTATTATAATTAAATATCTTAGATAGCTAAGGATATATCTACTTTAGTAGTTATAGGCTTTTTGCATGTTGTATTGTTGAGCTATTACGCGTTGTTATTGCGAAGGCGGGGCACAGTAGAAAAGCTGCCCGTTCGGTGGGGCTGCCCGCTCGGTGGTGAAACACGTTATAAGAATATATATATATATATATATATTACTCTATATATAGAGAGAAATACTATAATAATAGAAAAGATAGATTATTATAAACTAATTATAAGAATACAGAGCTACGCGTCTAGCTCTATATAGAGAGAAAGAAGAAGAGAGAGAGAGAAAGAGAGAAATAAATCTAATACTAAAAACTTATAAGAATATATACGCACGCGTTTTACTCTATATATAGGTAGAAATATTATACTTTTAAGAGAGAATTATTTCTATAAGGTACTTATAAAGATATATACGCGCGCGTTTTATTTTATATATAGGTAGAAATATTATACTTTTAAGAGTAGTCTAATCTTATAAGGTACTTTTAAGAGATCACGCGTAATAAGAACCTACACTTTTAAGATTATACTTAAGCACTTCTGAGGTAAGATTTCTTACGCACGGACCAGTTTTGGGCACTTTTAATGGCGAAGCCTCGAATTTAATATATATAGAAATTGTAACTCTAGCGAGTTTCCCGGCCAAAATACCAAAGAACTGCTGGACAGTTCTTCAGTATGCTCTACGACGGGCCTGAAGCTCTTTAATACTCTTTCTTGATATTATCTCGGTTTAGTCATAGAGCCTAGATAGTATATTAAACTCTTAGACTCTGCTTATGACTGAGTGTCGCTTCAATAGCCTATTCAAAGTATCGATAACTTTAATTGTTTCAGGATGTATGGCGTATGACGTACAAGAATGATTTTCCTAGAAAAGAATGACAGGGCACACCCTAACCTGCGAGAATCGGCCATCAAGATGAATAACTCCGCAGTAGTGATTCCAACAAAAGAACTATAGTACTATGCATGGACTAAAATCTCGGAGATCCGCCTCTGAGATATTAGTAAGAGAAGCACAGTTTTCGAACCCAATAGTAGAAACCGATGATAACTGTAGTATTTCTTCTATGGTATAAAGAGAAAGATTATTTTCCACTTATGCGCGTGATTTAAACATTACGTTGAGAGCAGTGTCTGGTATAGCCATGGTTGCGATGTATGTTTCTTTTGGTTTTGTGCCAGCCACTAGCTCAACATCATAGCGTAGAATTAAACTTGCAAACATGATCTTCATCTCATGAGTAGCGAAGAACCGACCCGGGCTACGCGTGTTGGCAGTTAGCTTTGCTCTATCACTATATAATGGAACCAGCTTCTAGGCTTACCAAGGATGCCTTCCGTGACCGAACAAATGAAAATCTGTGCCGGTGGTCACCACTGTTTTCTCAAGCGCTGGTCTACCATCTTTCGCTTGAACGAATCGAAAGCCTTCGAAGGATTCAGGGTTGTCGTAAGAAGTGGGGTCGCGATGCAAGATCCGGCTAGGGCTGACCACTTTTGCACCGGCCGGGATAATCGTCCCGTCTGAAAAAGTGAAAGTTTGCCTTGCGTGTCTTTGCATGGCAGCTGGTAATGTTAAATTCTAATGAACTACACATGAGTTGAAGAAGGATGGAGATGACTTACCCAACCCTGCCACGTTGAAACGCGCTGACTCACGTAAGAAGCTGTCCATGAAGATCAGATTCTGAATAGTTTCATGTGTAATTCGTCCGTCCACTAGATTTCGGATCACTTCAGCCCGCAACGTCTCCATGTACTTTCCAGGCTCTGCTGCCAGAGAATAAATGGCGGCTGTAAAGGTCTAATATTGGGTTTAGTGTCAGCTTATTGATGGCTCGTTTATTCTATGCCAGCGTACCATTGTAGTGGTGTGAATGGAGGCGACGTTGAGGGCCATAACTCTCTCCACAATTTGATACTCAGTTTTTTCAACAGGTGGCGCCTCATCAATAAGCCATTGAACCAAGTCTTCCGGTTCCTTGCCATCTGGATACTTGCCGTCTAGGCGATCCCGTACCATCGGTCCAAGGAAATTCATTGCTTTGCGCATACACGTGGTAACGGGTAGGAATTTAACAAGGTATCTGCAGCGTTTAGCTCCAATGCCGCTTATGTTATATAATACGGGGGTTTTACATACTTTTTTGCCCAATGCGGAAATAACCGGAGTACTTCGGCAGAGAGAACTACGGCTTGAGCATAGTCGGTTGCGTTTTGAAGGTATTCGGTGTTTCTGTCTAAGACCAAGATGAGGATTGAGATGGAAAGCAGGGATGCGTCATCTTACAGAAGTTTCCCCCAACGAATATCCGATTGCTAACTCGCGCTACGGTTATTGCGATGTATTGGTATAGAGGTACAGGTTTCCAATCTTTGTAGAATGTCAGATGAGGTCGTGCCCAATATGAGTAGCACTTCAAACCTTTAGGCGATCCAATCTGGTCCTCAAATGCGATTACAACTTCGTCGACCATGTCCGCTGTAAATTGCGGCAAATTTGGAGTTATCTGTTTGCGAACTACAACATTGTGGTAGGTCCTATATGCCACTCCGTATCCCATGGTAAAAGGGATTTGCTGTGCCTATCATGGCTTACTTAGCAGCTTTTCAGTGTGCGTCGCTGTAGTTAATTGATGGTCCAGGAGTGATCCTGTTGCTGGGGGATAGCAAATGCTTGGAAGCTCAGACATGTAGGGCTTCGGTTTACTGACTTACATCATTGGCCCCATCTTGCATGTTGAGAACAGAATCAGAGGCCTTCATGTATTCTGCAACCTTTTCCTTGGTTGTCACAAGCACAAACTCATCCGAAAGAGTAGCAACGCGGAAAAGGCCATTCCTGGTCTTTCCCATGCCTTCTTGCACGAGTCCGACTGGATCACGCATGAATTTGATTCCTGCTATCCATGAACCAAAGTAGGGTATTGGCCAGAATCCAACCGACGGCACGTTGGGCTTTAGGATACGTCAGCGTAAAGAGTTCAAAGTTTTACATCCGTGGAACACGACAGCACCATGGCATTATTGAAACTTACAGTTCGCTGATAGTAATGCGCCCATCTTACTACAAGAGCAGTAAAGATTAACGAACCCAAAGCACTAAATATGTTACGTGCAGACATGCCGATGATCTCTGGCTGTGGTGTAGAATCATGGCTAAAATTGTCAGCCATCTTGCAACCTGAAATAAAGATCTCCTGCAGTAGAGCTTGTAAACGAAGTTGTTATTAGAGCGCTCGAATACGAGAGGTGTTGCTGTTGTCTTGAAGAGAGTATAGCCTATGTAATTAAATTGGTAATTAGTCTTAATGAAGACATTGATCGTCCGCGTTGTCAGTCTTACTGACATAATTACTCCGCCCCAACTAACCCATTAGATCCGTGAGCGGGGCACCCCACTAAACACGACACGACACTCCACATTTTTTGCTTCTACTAATAACATAGCTGCTATACTCCACTATTAACAAAATACTAACTCCTTCTTTTATTAGATCTATTAAAAACTTTTCATTATATACTAAAAGTATTTATAGATAGTTTTATCTTAATCATTACTCTACTTAGTTATAAAGTCTAACCATTACTATTCTATTGTGGCACGATACGTGATCGAGCTCAAAAGATCAGAGGGGCGACCCGCAATCGAGTAGATAGAAATAAGCTGAAGGTTGATCGTTGCAAAGGATGAATTGGAGAAGGTGCCTATCTACGTACGAAAGATAATCGTAATATATACTATACGCTCAGTCACGTGATGCTACACCACACTATATAACTATTTATCCCCTTGATTAAGCCATGATAAGTAATGCTTTCTA